AACTGTAATCTGAATACATAGTTTTTTTTATGTAGCTGTAACGGATTACAGTTACTAGATTTTTGTATCCTGATTACGTAACGCCGTTACAAGTATTCTGTTACTCCCCAACCCTGCCTATGCCTTCCGCAGATGATATAAATACACATAAAAGACTTTCAACCAGCATAACAAAAAATGTTTTTGAACCAAATCACGACCTTGCCTTTAAAGCAAACTGAACCGAGACCATCTTTCGGTGGTCTAATGTACTGATAAAGTACGTTTTTTTTGTCATTTCAACAGTTCTAATTTGTGTCACTCACAAACACTCAAACAGTTTGATTAAAGTCGTCTATGATGCAGTTCATTATAAAAACCCTTTGTTAAATGAAGAACAAATATAGACAAACGTGCATTCATTGTATTTTTGAGTTCAGCTTTGAGAATGAAAACCGACCTGTTTGTTCCTCAGTATCTTCATGTTTGACTCTGAAAGCTTCTTCAATCTTCATGTCTTCACTCTCCTCTTTAATAAACACCATCTTTATAATAGTGTGTCTCTCAGTCGCTTCAGCAGGAGTTTTTCTGTGTTTAAGATCAGAATAATTAACGAAGTAAAATAAACCCAATCTAGATCTCTGGGGTGTCTCAATCAGCTCCCTAGTTCAGTAGTCAGCACACTAGTAAGGGAGACAGAGTTAATGTGGTTAATCTTAGTTAATAGCCTTAATGACCTAGTTATAAAAAAAACAAAAAACAGCAATACAATTTAAGAGAATGGGGAGAAAAAAATTACACTCATTTTTTGTGTTTAAATTTGGTATTTAATAACTTGTAAATCATTTTAAAATATTATACTTTCATGAAAACATTTACAATTGTTTTTTTTGTTTTTTTAAAGCTGTCATTACACGTTTGTGTTTGTTCTCGTTGCATTTTGAGCTGCAGGAGTCGGAGATTCGAATCACTGAATCATTTTGCGAAGCATTTGATTCAATTGACTCGGAGTTGGGAAAAGCGCTGTTTCTCCATCATCACTGCTTTACAGTGACTGAATTCGCGTGTATGATGAACTGATTCAGATATATGGAGCGACATGAGACGCATCTTTTCTGTTAATCATCGTACGGACGCGCTTTACTCATAAAAACAACGTTCATTCATGTAACTAGATAAAGTATTACAGTGCTACAGTCAGTGTAATTACGCCATTTACATCGCTTTTAAAAACTATACCATAACGGTTTGTAGCAAACGCTTTAAAAGCTTAAAAACACCAACCTTTCTACAACCGAATTACAACAGATGCAGCAGCGCGGCCTTGTGACGTCACGTCTCGAGACCAAAATAAAAGTCCCGTTCAGTCACAAATCACAAGAGTGCATAGAAATGTGTTCATGTTTTTTTGCTTTATCCCTTTAACTTTCATGTGTATTTTTGAGAGCATACGTGAAAATAGAGGAAGGGGGAAAAACACTTAAATTACTGTAATTCCGGAATGTTTCAGAATACAGACTTAAGTTTGGTCACATTTTGTGGTAGATTATTCTTGAAGTGAAGGTTTAATTTAACCTCAAATTCTGCAAAATCCAGGAGGGAGGGCTGGCAAAAAGTAGCAGACAAATTAAATGCAAGTGGTGACCATGTTAGATGTTTTTATCACTTATTTCAGTTTATATTTTTGTATTTTAATACTTTCATAAATACTTCATCATCTTTAATGTCAGAGCCACCACGCGACCCACTAGAACATGGGAACAAGTAGAAGTGAAATACAAGAATATTCTGCAAAGTGGTAATCTTTACTACTTTATACTTTAAGTCAAGGCAATCCATCACTACTCAATTCAATGGATTTACCATAATTAAAGTGAAAACTGCTCAACTTATTTACAGCTAATGTAAAAATATGTCGCCATGAGCTATGGATCTAATTTTTTAGAGTGTAATGGCATTGTGTTTTCCCCTTTTGTGCAGTTTTACTCAATACACCAACACGTTCACCTGTTCCTGAGCAAGTGCTGGCTGAAGCATGTGCAGTAAGTGCACTTTTTCTAACTTTTTTTTACATCAAAAGGGAAGAAAGTGCGACACTTTGTCCTGTGCAATGGAAACAAATGGGTATTACAGTGACGAAACCCTCTCAGATGACTGTCTTTTGGAGGAAATACTTATAAGTGCACTAATAACTTCATTTGTATCTACTCAAGAGCCTATTATTTCTGAGTCCACATCTACAGAAAGGCCTACAGAAGAGTCTGCACAGAGAGGTGATACAGAGGTGTTGTACTTTTCCTTTTTATTTTGGTTGGTTCTTCAACACAAAATATAAGAAATATAAAAATCCCCATTTGGCGGCAGTGGGGGTTTCTGCTTCAGTGCTAAGAAGAACTTTTGGATGACAGACTTAACAGAACAATGCCGTATGTTCCAATTTTAAAGTTTTTACAACTGCTTTTAAGTAACAGTTACATTCTTGACAGCTTTAGATAATCAGTATTGGAATTAGGACAAGAAGGAAAGGTCTACACGTCTTATCGGGATGGTATGCATTTCAAGTGCAACAATTTTATATCAGGTAGCGAATTGCGAATATTGCTGAAATGGTATGTGGATGATTTTGAGATCTGCAAGCCGTTTGGCACATCCAGAAAAAACCACAAGATCTGTGCTGTATATTGGATTCTCGCCAAGTTACCACCAGGTTATAATTCGTCACTGTCTTCCATATATTTGGCTGTACTGTGCAGATCAGACGATGTTCAGACGTATGGATATGAAAAAGTCCTTGCTTCTGTTTTGGAAAGCCAAGGAATTTTTATTGCACAGCGTGGTTGTTTTGTTGAAGGCACCGCGCAGACTGCCAGAGCAGACAATTTGGGAGCACATGGCATTACTGGATTTGTAGAGTTTTTCCAGTGAATACGTGTGCCGGTTTTATACGGCACAAAAGTCTGAAATTCAAGAGAAGGAAGTATGTTCGGATGTTTCTACTCTCCGAAGCAAAGAGATCAGCAGAGGATACTGAAAAGCCTCAGGGTATATACAGGAATCATGGAGTTAAATTTAATACCTTTTAAGACTCTTTCCATACATTTTAAGACCTCATCGCCACTCCAAGTTTTAACCGGTTACATCGGCAACACTTTAACTTACATTTACTGTATATTGATTGTAAGATAGCACAACTAAACAGACTTGCTTTGTGATAACTCCTTATCAATGCAAAAGCGGACACAGAAATCGCGGGAGCGTGCGTTAATGGTCAGAAGTTCAGCGAGAGCGGGATCAACAAGCCCCGCGCTATCACACAGCGGCGCAGTCAGTCAGTGAGCGCCGTAACAGATGACGTCTATAAATAAACTACACAGAACCCCACTATTCGGACAAATATACATAATGAAAAGATGATACAAAATTTAATACCTTGGAAAATGGCATTTAAGACTTTTTAAGGGCCTTAATTAACTCTAAATTGATTTATCAACTTTTAATACTTTTTAAGACCTCGCGGACACCACGGAGTAGCATCGGCCCGCATTGCTTTCAGTGTGGTCACTGGGATGATATTGTTTTAGGTGATGGAATAGGTTGGTTGTGTTGCCACAGTCTTGGTTTTCACCGACTGACGACATATTTTACAGATTGTTTTAATCCTTTTCTGTCAACAATTTCATCATCTTTCGATAACAACTCGGTTATTTTCACTTCCGTCGCTGCTTCCACTAATTTTTTGTCGTCCTCGTGTCGAGTTAGCTTTGCAAAGTGCAGCAGGAAATGTATTTTGTACTTTGACATGCACATTAAAAGCTGCATGCTGATTGGCTGTTGTTGCATATTTCTGCTGTGTGATTGGCTCTTAGATTAATCCATATAGAGTAAAAATGTCCAGAGCTTATCATTGTTATCGACATAAATTTTATCGCGATTCGATATGATATCGTTTACTGGCCCAGCCCTAAGCCTAACACAGTACATGTAGCTAAGTTTTTTATTACAAATAAAAAGAAAACCAGTAGATAGAACAGAAAAAGAATAGGGAATGCTAGTGTTAGAGGGTCTCTTTTTTTAAATAAAAATAAAACAAGATAGAATAGAAAACTAATGGAGTGCCAGTGTTAGAGGCTCTCTCTCTCTCTCTTTAAAAAAAACTAGTAAGAATAGAAAACGAATAGAGTGCCAGTGTTAGAGGCTCTCTCTCTAAAAAAAACTAGTAAGAATAGAAATAGAATAGAGTGCAAGTGTTAGTGTTTTTTCTTAGAATTAGACTAGAGAGTGCTAGAGTTAGAGGATGAAATGAAGTTTTACATTTACTGTGTGCAAGGACTCAGTCAGCCGTTTTAATTTCTTGAACTAAGCCACCCGCCCCAGTATACAAATCCTTAGAGAAGAGTAAAATGTCCTTCCAGATGAAGGATTGAGCTGACCCTGCATGTCTTAAACTTTCCATGCACTCAGGCGAAAAAGAGGGACATAACCACTCAAGACAACTGTAAGAAATGGCCAGTAGATAACATCAGTCTCTTACTGGGAAACCACCATGCTGGTGGTAATGTTTCTTTCCAGACCTGTAGTTTTGAATGTTATGATAGTTGTGAATTATTTGTAAGAGTCTAGCTCTGGAAGACTGTTACTCTTTAGTTTAACTTAGCACAGGGGTGTCCAAACTCGGTCCTGGAGGGCTACTCTCCTACAGAATTCAGCTCCAACACAAATTAAACACATCTGAACCAGCTAATCAAGGTCTTACTAGGCATACTAGAAACTTCCACTCTGCCCACACTGAGGGCTTATGTATGGCTTCTCTCCAGTGTGAATTCTAATGTGCCTGTTAAGGATTCCTTTTTGAGTGAAACTTATTCCACACTGTTGGCATGTGTAAGGCTTCTCTCCTTTGTGAATTCTCATGTGGACCTTGAGGTTTCCATGTTGACTGAAACCCTTTCCGCACTGAAAGCAGGTTAAACAACTTCTAGTTCCTATGTCTTTTTCAGCTCTTTTTCGTAAGGAAGTCTTTTTCGTCTGTGAGCAATTCAAAGATTTCTCTTCAGTTATGAAACCATGATGGTTCTCATACTGATCTTTCTCTTCCATTTCATTCAGTACTTCATTCTCCTCTTTAATTGCTGTCAGGTCTAAAGCAAAAAAAAAGAAAGAAAAGAAACAATTAAAAGACAAAAACATTTAAACATGTAAAACATCAAAACCAACATGTGTTGTACATCCTTATACACACTTAGCTACTGAAAGAAGTGTTGCATGTAATCTCAAAACATCTTTTAAATATTGTTTCAACATTTATTTAACTGATCAGTATTGGCTAGCCCAATCCTTTATTTTACGCCAGATGTCATGCAAGTGTCATGCAGTAGGTGGCAGTATGCACCTAGGTTTGTCAATGACCATTAAAAAGAAAAGACGACACTCAAGAACTAGTGAGGTCTATTCTAGAATGTTCAAGAACTAGTGAGGTCTATTTTAGAATGTTCAAGCTTCTGTGTTTTTAATTAGATTTTCATGAGATTTGGGTTATTTTTATAATAAAAGATATTTATACGAGAAATGCTAAGTAGATGCAGTGATTAACTACTTATAATGTTGTTGAAAAATGCTATTTATAGCCTATTATATGATCAAAACCCACATTAGATCACAATCAGAAGTATTGACAAACACTCAAAGTGGTTTAAAGTTAGTTTTGAGTAAAAGTGTAGTATAAATATTATAAATTGTCTCATGTATCTAGGGCTGGGCGGTATGCCCGTATATATTGTTACTATGGATTAAAACCGTTAAAGATTTTGCTATATTGTTTATTTTGCATTATGCAAATATATACATTTACCTCAGAAATAAACGTATTCGGTGACCTTGAACTCCAGCGTTTCCCATACATTGATTTATTTGTGGCGGACCACCACAATATCAACACTGACCGCCACAAATAGATTTTCCAAAAGGCGAGTGTAAGTCTGTGGGAAACACTGAACTCATTAGGCAGCTAGAAAAATGAACTCTAGAGAGGAGCATTTTGCTAAATTTAAATTTAATTTAAAGTTAGTTTCATAACTTTAATATTACAAAAACTTTCAGTATATTTTAAGTGTTTGTATACAAAACAACAAATTTCAACCTTTCATATTATTGACTCTCAGGTATATTTTTCAGCATTAGTTGATTTTTTTTTTCCTTGAGAAAATTTGCCATGTCCTGTACCTGATATATATCCAAAATAATCAATATTGAATCGAAATCGGAATCGAATAGAAAGCTTGTGAAGGATAATCGAATCGAATTGTGAAATTTGTGTCAAAACCCAGCCCTAGTTTCTTATTTACAGAACTGAACACGGAAGTGTAATGGACTTTCATCGTTGGAGACGGGGCGGGTTATGAATGAGTAATATGATTGACAGATGAGCAGCGAATTAGCTTCCTCTGAGTCAGAACAGTGATCGCAGAAGAGAAAACACAGGCAGCGCTGCTAATGCTAATCAGTATATCACTGGAAAATGAATGAAAATGATGATTTTGTCTGAGCTATGCATTTTAGGATGAAAACGCACTAGTGTAAACATAGCCTAAAAGATGTGGAAACTGAAAACTATTTTAACTTTATTAAAACTATTTGCACAGATTTATTGTGTTGGTTACATTTTGTTCCTTTGTGCTTATCGTTGGAGACGGGGCGGGTTCTGAACAAGTAATATGATTGACAGATGAGCAGCGAATGAGCTTCCTCTGAGTCAGAACAGCAATCGCAGAAGAGAAAACACAGGCAGAGCTGCTAATGCTCATCAGTATACCACTGGAAAATGATGATTCTGTCTGAGCTATGCATTTTAGGATGAAAACGCACTAGTGTAAACATAGCCTAAAAGATGTGGAAACTGAAAACTATTTTAACTTTATTAAAACTATTTGCACAGATTTATTGTGTTGGTTACATTTCCTTTGTGCTTTGTTTTGTTCCTTTGTGCAGTGGCTCAGGAGCTGAGTCGGAGTATGTAAAAGTGTCAACAAACTGAAAAAATAAAACAAAAGTTTTTTGAGGTAATGTAATCTTGTTAAAATGGATTTCATAAAATTGGCATCGAAAAAAGTACTGCTCAGGAACCAGTATTGAAATCAAGGTATCGATAACGAAAATTTTTGAACGATACCCAGCCCTAGACGTGTTAGATGTTAAATAGAGTTAAGCACAATAAGCAGTGAAGAATTTAATGCAGTGTTTACGCTGATTGACTCAGCATGCGCATATTGTGTTATTTTACTTTATATTATGCTATTTACTCATTATGGTATTATCTTAAAATTATGATGCATGGTCATGAAAGTAATCAATATACTGATCAATATGTTGAATTATTCTAATAGTGGATGTCTTAATACAGATTGTATGTATGAGGGCCCTCCCATTGGGCAGTACTGGTAGATTATACCATGTAAACATAGCCTAAAAGATGTGGAAACTGAAAACTATTTTAACTTTATTAAAACTATTTGCACAGATTTATTGTGTTGGTTACATTTTGTTCCTTTGTGCTTTTTTTTGTTCCTTTGTGCAGTGGCTCAGGAGATGAGTCCGAGTATGTAAAAGTGTCAAACTGAAAAAATAAAACAAAAGTTTTTTGAGGTAATGTAATCTTGTTAAAATGGATTTCATAAAATTGGCATCGGAAAAAGTGCTGCTCAGGAACCAGTATTGAAATCAAGGTATCGATAACGAAATTTTTTGAACGATACCCAGCCCTAGACGTGTTAGATGTGCCAACCAATTGGAGGCGGCAGAATAAAAGTTTTTTAAAAAGGTTGATTCGGCCAAGTTCCACCATTAAAAATGGACCAGGTGGGCTAGTAATAAATTGTGGCAAACCAGACAGGCATAGCCAATTAAAAATCGGAACTACCAACTTTGGTAAGGGAATAAAATGGACGCGCGGACAGAGGATTAGATGCGGTTACCGTTATCTCGGCTTTGTTACTTTGTTTAATAAAAGTCTTATTTTGACATCTGGAACTCTGCTTCTCGAGCTTCATTGACTACATTGAAGAAATTCATCATTGGCTCCGCGACACGACACGCACAGTAAACACCTCTCACAGACAGCATGCGATCGCGAATTCGGGACGTGCATGATGTTTAACTAAGTTATTAAAGGGGTCATATGATGCTTTTTTAAAGATCATTATTTTGTGTATTTGGACTTAAAATTATGATGCATGGTCATGAAAGTAATCAATATACTGATCAATATGTTGAATTATTCTAATAGTGGATGTCTTAATACCGATTGTATGTATGAGGGCTTTTCCATTGGGCAGTACTGGTAGATTATACCATTGAACTTAAATAATCCTATGAACGTTGGGTGAATTCCAGAGTATGACAGGAACATGTAAACAGATTTGATGAATGTCTCCTGGGATCACTGCCAACCAATAGGAGGCAGCAGAATAAAAGTTTTTAAAAATGGTTGATTCAGCAAAGTTCTACCATTAAAAATGGACCAGGCTACCAATTTTGGTCAAAGAAAAAGGTATAAAATGGACGCGCGGACAGAGGATTAGATGCGGTTACCGTTATCTCGGCTTTGTTACTTTGTTTAATAAAAGTCTTATTTTGACATCTGGAACTCTGCTTCTCGAGCTTCATTGACTACATTGAAGAAATTCATCATTGGCTCCGCGACACGACACGCACAGTAAACACCTCTCACAGACAGCATGCGATCGCGAATTCGGGACGTGCATGATGTTTAACTAAGTTATTAAAGGGGTCATATGATGCTTTTTTAAAGATCATTATTTTGTGTATTTGGCATTTTGGTCAAAGAAAAAGGTATAAAATGGACGCGCGGACAGACAGCTTTGTTACTTTGTTTAATAAAGTCTTATTTTGACATCTGGAACTCTGCTTCTCGAGCTTCATTATAAATCAGAATCAGAAATTAACTGATTTCCACAGGGGCATTTCTTACTTGAGGGCAATTTTATAACTACCTTATTAAATGTATCTGTGTTTTGTTTTGTTTTTATGTCAAATTTAACCAGTTACTTCAATCAATCACAACACTATATAGACAGTTACCAATCTCATTTTTACATCAACAAAAGCCATCTTTACACTGCAAAGGTGTAACATCATGTACACATATTTAAACAAAATTGCATAGTATACCATATATGTATGAGCTCAATCTTTGGTAAAAAAAAAAAAATTGCGCCGTTCTGCCATTTGGGGGCGCTATAAGACAGAAAAAACATAAATTCAGCTATAACTAGGCAACCGTTGGTCTGATCGACTTGAAAATTGGTATGCAGCGTCTTGGTCCAAAGTGGCACAAGTGTCTATGAGGACATTCGCATATCTTAAAAAACATGGCCGCCATTGGCCAAACAAGTTTAAGCACCTATTAAACAAGGTTAATGGAGGTCAATCGGAACAAATTTTGAAAGAAATCGGCCACTAGTTGGTGCTAACGAGTTTTTTTGGCTCTGTAATCACGTGTTGTTTCACATATTCACACAATATGCATATCATTTGATAGATTTCCTCAATGCACAACTTTGCCTCAAGAACCATTGCTGTCAATCAAATCGTTCATAGGTGGCGCTATAACAGTCATAACTGGGCAATTCCACAGTTTAGGCCTAATTGCAAGGACAATAGCCTGCAAAATCAATCTTCATGGAGAAAGCCATTGTCCTCGGGTTAACATCCTGAGAAAATCTGGGGTACAGCTGTGTGAAAGGCAGGATAAATCTGGCAATGGTAAACTAGTAAACTTTGATCAAAGTTGAGTTGATGTAAAATTTAACGTATGTAACATGGACGGAAAAACAGTGTAAATTCAAGCAGAAAGTGTACTTAATCTAATTCAGTTTAATAAAATTCTGGTTGAATACACTTGAAATTTATAATTATGTGTTTAATTATATGCTCTGAACACTACAGCAAACTTAATTTACAGAATAGCGGTTTCATTTCTTGAATACACTTCTTAAAATTAAGAATCTGAAATATGAAAGATGACTGTTAGTCTCCATGTTCATGTCAATTACAAAATAAGGATATTATCTTCTCTATGATAGGCTGCAATTTACATAGCCTGATTTACAGAATATGATGCTGCATGAATGGTGGCCTACATAGTATTTGGAAAAGTTTTTTCATTTCATATTAGGCCTGCCGGTGTGTTCCTTTTAAAATAATGAATATAGGCTACTTCAGACATTTATTAGGCATGATGTGCTAAATATGATTTGGAGAAATAATACACAAGACTATAGGCTATTGCTGAGCTGTGGCTGTTGGCTACACTTGCACTCAGGAAATAGTTTGACTCTTGACTGGTCAATTAAGTGAGGTAACGCTGAATCGCATGATAGGCTAATCGACCAATACAGGCAAGGAAATGAGCACAAATTCACGGTACGCTCTAGCTGCCATCAAACGGAGCTCCGGTGGAATTGAAAGTAAACTCGCGCATCGCCTGTGGCCTACATAATTTGGACATGATGAAGGTACACTTGACAGGCTGTGGAGCTTCATTTTACCACAAAGCTAATGTTTAAACTAGCTTTATTGTGTGCCGTCAGTGCGGAAAATCTGCGTGTGTTCCTTAACATTATAGCCCAGTTCACTGTTGTTTAAAAACCTATGCGATTAACGCCGACAGTTTATTCTAATGGCATAAGTGAGATTGTGTTAACGCACTATTAACGTGTTAACTTCGACAGCCTAAGCTATATTCTTACGAACATTGGACAGAAAAAAAAAATCATCAAAAAAAAATTACAAGATAAGGATATTATCTTCTCTATGATAGGCTGCAATTTACATAGCCTGATTTACAGAATATGATGCTGCATGAATGGTGGCCTACATAGTATTTGGAAAAGTTTTTTGATTTCATATTAGGCCTGCCGGTGTGTTCCTTTTAAAATAATGAATATAGGCTACTTCAGACATTTATTAGGCATGATGTGCTAAATATGATTTGGAGAAATAATACACAAGACTATAGGCTATTGCTGAGCTGTGGCTGTTGGCTACACTTGCACTCAGGAAATAGTTTGACTCTTGACTGGTCAATTAAGTGAGGTAACGCTGAATCGCATGATAGGCTAATCGACCAATACAGGCAAGGAAATGAGCACAAATTCACGGTAAGCTCTAGCTGCCATCAAACGGAGCTCCGTTGGAATTGAAAGTAAACTCGCGCATTATGGCGTTATTTTAATGACAAATGTCGAGAGCACATTATTGTAGCGCGAAAGCACATTAATATAATGCGCGAGCGTGAATCTCGCCGCTTGCGCGCGGATTTCCTTTGCTCTGACACAAAACCGGACGCGCGTGCTCAGATACACGCTGCTCTCGCCCAGAGTGTGTGCATGCACTTAAAAACGTGTCTCTCCTCTCACTCAAACTGTGTCCTGTGAACTCTCAAATCTCTCTGTGCTCATGCGCTATAGATATTAACTCTTTTCGCACCTGAATTAAACAAGTTGTCAAAAGTTATCATTATGCACTTTTAAAAAGTAGCCTAGTCTCAAAACAGATTTGTGCAGGGCCTTTCCTTGATTTTTAATTGTTGTATATTTTTTTGTTTTAACAAACTGGTTATTGTAGCTACTTTGTTTTACTATATCTCTTTTATGTTTGTATTTTGATCTTTTCTGCGAATGCACATATGCATCTCTTTGTAAAGTAGGCTACTTTGTATACACTGTTTTAAAAGGGTTATATTTGGTCTCCAAATCGTAAGTATGGGTTTAGGGAATAGTGCATCTGACCCATATCTAAATAGTTCTGTCTTAAATCAGAAGATTTCAGATTTAAGATTCAGGTGCGAAAAGAGTTAATATCTATAGCGCATGAGCACAGAGATTTGAGAGTGCACAGGACACTCCGGGCGAGAGCAGCGTGTATCTGAGCGCGCGTCCGGTTTTGTGCCAGAGCAAAGGAAATCCGCGCGCGAGCGGAGAGATTCACGCTCGCGCATTATATTAATGTGCTTTCACGCTACAATAATGCGCTCTCGACATTTGTCATTAAAATAACGCCATAGCGCATCGCCTGTGGCCTACATAATTTGGACATGATGACGGTACACTTGACAGGCTGTGGAGCTTCAATTTACCACAAAGCTAATGTTTAAACTAGCTTTATTGTGTGCCGTCAGTGCGGAAAATCTGCGTGTGTTCCTTAACATTATAGCCCAGTTCACTGTTGTTTAAAAACCTCTGGAAAAGTCAGATTTTCATGATATGTCACCTTTAACAGATGTGGGTTGAGTAGCCAAAAACTGTACTCAAGTAAAAGTACAAGTACTTATAGAAACAATTACTCAAGTAAGAGTAAAAGTAACAATCCTAACAGTCAATTGAGTAAGCGTAAGCGTAAAAATCCAATGGAAAATCTACTCAAGTAGAGAGTTACTAGTTACTTTGGATATATATATTATATATACTGTATATCAGAAATTAATGGATTTCCACAGGGGCATTTTTTACTTGAGGGGAATTTTATAACTACCTTATTAAATGTATCTGTGTTTTGTTTTTATGTCAAATTTAACCAGTTACTTCAATCAATCACAACCCTATATAGACAGTTACCAATCTCATTTTTACAATCAACAAAAGCCATCTTTACACTGCAAAGGTGTAACATCATGTACACATATTTAAACAAAATTGCATAGTATACATAGCCTATAAAAATAAATAAAACAGGAACTGCTTAAAGGGTGAAGCTGCAAAAAAAAAATCATTTCTGATTATTGCTCTTGATATTGTAGTAATGATCATTAATGTCGATTTATGAATTGCTTTTTACGGATTAGACAATCAAGACTTCACATTGGTTATTTCAGTAGCATGAAAAAACGAAACTGTTATTCAAACCTGGGAATAAATCTTTTTCTTCTTCTTAAATGACATGTGGCCAAGTATGGTGACCCATACTTGGAATTAGTGCTCTGCATTTAACCCATCCAAAGTGCACACACACAGCAGTGAACACAAACACACCGTGAACACACACCCGGAACGAAACGGTTATTCAAACTGGGAATAAATGACGTAAAGAAACAGAAGCGCTACATGACTTTCAGTCTAAAACTGAGCGGCACACTGAACATCTCCGGAGTTCTCCGCGGAGACGAATCAAAATGCACCTGATTGGATATTGCATTCATAAGCTCAACAGAAACGTGTGTGATTGGTTATAATGCTCAAAGCTGAAAAAAAAAAAAAACATGTATAAAAAAATCTTTGATGCATTGTGAGCAAATCTAAACGTAATGCCAATCAACACTTTTCCTTCATTTTCATTTTTCGCTTTAATCGCGACAGTTAAAAGTAAAAAAAAATACAAATCAATAAAATAACCACTTTTATTGAAAGACAAAAAAACTGGACAGAAAATATATTAATATTAAATATCAAAATAGGCCTATTTTTTAAATCAGTTCTATGTAACAGAATCAGATTTAACTGAATTTTTTGCTTAATTATCCAAATAATGTATAGTCCTATAAAGCTAGTATTATCAGAGCATGTGAGCAGAGCATAGTGTCACGAGAGGGTAGCGTTGTTTTACCAGCATTGCCCAGTACAGCTGTACTACATACTACAAAGAAATGTCCTGTCTGAGCATTATTTGAGCGGACTTTACTTTTCCGGTGAGCATGAGCAGTAAGTGACTCGAACCCACAACCTTTGGGTTACAAGTCCGACTCTCTAACCATTGGGCCACAACTTCCCCCCTAAATGACGTAAAGAGAAACAGAAGCGCTACATGACTTTCAGTCTAAAACTGAGCGGCACACTGAACATCTCCGGAGTTCTCCGCGGAGACGAATCAAAATGCACCTGATTGGATATTGCATTCATAAGCTCAACAGAAACGTGTGTGATTGGTTATAATGCTCAATGCTGCAGACCGCTTTCAGAAGGAAATCTGATAATCTACTATAAATGAAATGCCGCTATTGACACTTTTCATTTCACTTTACACATTTCACATGACAGTCGATCTAGCTTACCACTACTACAAAGTATTAACGTTACGTTACTTAAATGAAATCAAATGTATAGGCCTACCTGTGGAATCATTCACAGACAGCACACACATGGTGTTCAACTAATAAAGATCCCCATCGCATGCCAACAGCAGAATTTGCAGATTTAGCTTCAATTGACTGAAGGTCTTTATGTTCTCCCTGTTCTTAAATTTCCCGGTACGAATGAGAAACCCCTTCAGACGATTCAGTGCGTGCAGGGAACTGAACAAATCATTCAAAGTGATTCGCGAAACAATTCAGACCGTTTTGCAGGTTTGTTTCTTGAAAAGAGTCGACTCAAAAGAGTGATTCATTCGCGAATGTGGTATCGTTCATGTCCCAGATAAAAGAGACAGTGCGCTTGGAATAAAACGTGTTTCTTAACATGTATTGCATAAAAATTAAGTAACGAGAGGAACGTCGCCCAGTGTAGCGAAGTAAAAGTACAGTTTTTT